CACAATACGTTGATGATCAAAATCATGCCCTAAATAAATTCGATCCTGCAGTAGAAATACCCAGCGGTTACGGCTGATAATCAGATACTTGAATGTGAAAGCCAATTGTGTGGCTTGTGCAAACCGTAGTCAAAAACTCTGAGGTCCTGATAGGTTCGAGCTTAGGAATAACGAACGGCCGCTATCACTCAACATAGAGTTCGTCGCATGCGATTGAGTCGCGTGAAAGCGAGAGAATATTCCCAAATACACTTCAACTTATTCGGCAAATAACCTCATGTTAGCGCTGGTTTCAGTTGATAAATTTTTCCGGGCACTCAACACCAACAGCGGAAATAACGGTGCTGGTGAGGGTACCGAAGAAACCGTGAATGGTATCACAACAACCGTTGCCATGCCACTGACTGGCGGGCCGGGATTGAAGCCAGCCTCAATAATGGATCTTTTCGGTGGTGGTGGCACGGAATCCGAAAGCATAACTCCTCAGAAGCCAATAGAATTCGTCGGTGCGGAACGGCCAACCCAGGAAAGAAATGGAGGGTCGTTGTTCGGTATTGAGAAACTGCTTGGACTAGCTGGTGGAATGGTAATTGAGTATGTCTTGATGAGCACTTAAAATATTCCAAAGCAAGCCATTGTGAAGAAAGATTCCAATGAAAACATCGACATCAAATGTTTTTTCATGACTGCACACTGGCAATCCATTACAATACATCACAGTATCCATATTTTGAAGCTACAGTAAAATTTTCACAACTGTACCGTATGCGCTGATAGAACACCTAGGTGAAACTCCGCGGTGCAGAGGTGGGCGTTAATGCGCTATCGTTAATTTGTGAAAGTTGGCGAATTAGCGAATTAATTGTTTCGTTAACTTTCACTAACGAGCGAAACAGCTAGTCCGCTAACTCGCTAACTTTTGTTAATTAACGATAGTGCGATAATGTCCAGCTCTGCTCTGTAGCATGCGAGCTATATGACCTTATCACATAATTTTCATTCTTTCCAGACAGTCGATAAGGCACAAACAATAACGAAACCATCAGTAGAATCCCCGATAACAGCGTCGATTGAACAACCCACTGATCCAGGCGATAACTTGCTTGGAAGTATTTTGAACGGACATTTCGGTGAAATAGACTGGATTGGCTCTCTACTTGGTACCAAACAAACGCCGTCACAAGAGGAAGGCAACGCCATGGCGCAACTATTCAAAGGTGGCTTCTTCGGGCCAGCAGATGATAGTGTGTGAAGAGAGCACTCTCGACAAAACCCGTGATTTTATTATTACTTCACTGATCCGTTATTTAAGTTGCCACAATTCTGAAAGATATGCATCATCGGGCACAGAAGAAATTCTGCTAAATTCGTTTGGTTCAAAACTTAGGATTTCTTCTGCATATCTTCATGAATTCCATCTCAAACTTATGCCTAATTTTGTGGCTAAAATAGTTTTATTCGACGAATCACGAATTTTGAACGCTTCAATGAACATTATTTCAACGCCCTTAAACTGAAAACACCGCATATTCATTGTTTAATGCTTACATTTTGCTAGTGCAATGAAAGTACGCAAGATGCGTATCATTCGTCTTTGTGATTTCGGTGATCCTTCAGATAGCAACATGCCGTTCGTTGTAAATTGTTTATTTACGTATTCGTTCTATCATCATAATAATAAACGAGATTTATATCAACACAGATCGTACAAAATCATAATAAATCAAAATCAACTATCGACTGGAAAAAATATCGTTCAGCGAAAACGTTACGAGGAGGATGTTGACGATGTGTTTGTGTCTTGTTGAAAGTCTTTAACTGCTTCGTCGTATAGGTCAAACTGTGATTCTGTAGCCACCGATTTCAGCTGAAACCACCTTAGATAAATGAAAGTACAATTGGGCAGTTTCATATCCATGTCCTTTTGATAGTTTCAAAATAACACTTCGTTCAGTAACCCAACATATTCGGACAGTGATCACAATCTCGTCTCACTGCTTCCTCTATTCACACAACAAATTCACAATACCAATACAGTTCTGGAGGCTATGTATTCAATCACCCATATATGATAGCAACGTAAGAATATATCAAACATTAATGAAGAATCCATATGGAATCTGGATCTGACATTCCGACGGAACCATCTCCATTCAATGAACGATGCCGACCGAATGATAGCGAAATAAAGGAGCTTACGCTGATCGGCAGAAGCTCTCCAGACTTCTTCGATTTCAGTTTCTTGTAAAGTGGCCCAGCGCGTTTCGAGATGACGAATTGCTGCAGACCATTGAACGATGTGCACACCGTACAGGTGGAATGGTGATGTGAACGTTGTATCTGAAAAGAAATAAACTGTAATCATGTAATATTATCAATCTGATGCACCGCACCGTCAGAGTGATGTTCCTGCCTCGGACTATAAGACTATAAGATCATCGCACAAACATTTGAGTCAAGATCCAAAAAAAAGCGCTGAAACTTTCCCAAACCGCTGAGTATACTTTGCTCCTCAGAAATGAAGATATAAAAGATGGATCGTGAAAATTATAGAAAGAGACAACTTCCTAGCAGAGGCATTTTTTGTGAAGGTAGCAAAATGTGAATAAATGAACAAGTCAACAAATCTGCTATGACAACTAAAATGCCACTTAATGAGCAAAGTAGAGATAAATTTCAGAACGTTCAGGAACAAAACGCACATCAAGAAGACGAGGTGCTGAAGATTGAGTGGGCTGTCGAACGCCTTTTTGCATGATCACGTACGAAAAGGAACCAGCTGCCGTTCCATCGAGACGTTTTCCAGGCCTACCATCAGCTCTTATTTCACACCATCGAGTTGGGAATGAACAAGACCTCCTCAAAATGAATACAATCGATAACGAACTGCAACTTTTTTGATTTAGACTGATTGTGAGCACAAACTTTTTTCTCAAATGAAAAAACAACTTTTCGAGTGCATTTGCAATTATTGTTGTAGTTTTGAGTGTCGTGGCATGAAATGTATGGCAGCAGATATGATTCAGCTTTTTTCATTCTTACGAGCGATTTTTTCGTTCTGTCCACAAAATGAAATGTGGCCAT